AGAGCCCTCGCCCCACCCCTGAACCCCTCAGCCCCACCCCTGCCGCACATCACCGCCATGCTGGTGCACGTAACAAAATTAATTCTGCACATGGATGTAAAAAAGTTAGAGGGAACATTGGTTTAACCCGTGTGTGTGGTGGGGGGGGGTTAGACGCGTTGCTGGTTACATGGAGATGCTGTGGGGACGAGTGCCGGGTCAGAGCCTGCGCAGGGGGCTTCCCCCTGCCCCCCAGGGCAGCTCTGCTCCTTGGGCCGCCCTCGTGGGGGACCCGGCGATTCCCCATGGGGCCCCCACGGCCTGTTGGGACGTGAGATTCCCGCCCGTGCAGCCCCTCGGGGGCACCAGGGGCTCTGCTGCGGGATGGCAGTGCAGCCTCTCCGATCCCCAGCCCAGGGGGCTTCATTCCTGGCCCTCCACCCCCATCGTTAGCTCAGCTCTGAGACCTCGCAGAGGCATAATAGTTGCTTCCCCTCTCCAGACAAATGCATCACCAGCGAGCTGCTGAAGGACCTCCCCCTGAAAGACCTTCCCCTGAGCGGGGGGCTGAAGGACACTCCCTCGAGCGGGGGTCTGAAGGACACCCCCCTGAGCGGGGACCTGAGCGCAGACGTTGAGCTGCTGAAAGCAGGTAAGAGCCGGGGCGCAGGACCCCACACCATGAACACCTGGTCACGCAGCTGTCTCACCAGCCTCCCCCCTTCCCTCTGCAGGTCCCCTCCCATCCCCAAAAGAGCTCATCAACGGGAACATCAAAACCATCACCGAGTACCGGGAGGAGGAGGATGGGCGCAAGGTGAAGGTGAGTGGTGGGGCTGGGGAGCGGGCGCCAGCGGGCCCCACGGTGCACCGTGCTCCAGGCTGGAATCCTCCCCAGCTCCCGCTGCGAAATCCACTGTGTCCAAGCCAGCCTGTTCCCGTCCTGGGGCTGGATCGCTCCCCATAGCCCCTTCCCGGGGCAGGACCATACATCCTGAGCAGTGGAGCTCTCCTGACTGGGTGGCTTTGTTTGCTTTTCCCTTCCCTCCACTTTCTCCTAATTGCAAGGACCGGCCCCACTAGGAATCCCCCATGTGTGGTGTTCCAGCCCCATTGGAATGCAGGCGGGGCAGATGGCGGCCGGAAGCCGGAGCGAAGCAGCCAAGCTTGTCTCCAACTGGAGCATCTGGTTGCGGGCCCAGCGTCAGCACCGCTCCCCTTGGCACACCGTGACCCCGCCTGCCCCCATGGCGCTCAGCAACTGGCACTGTCGTTCCTCTGCAGATCATCCGCACCTTCCGAATTGAGACCAGGAAGGCCTCCAAGGCTGTGGCACGGCGGAAGGTGAGTGGGCTCGCGCTGGGATAGCAGGGCCACGAGGGGTTAATCCGCACGGGCCGTTTGCCTTGGGGGTGGCTTAGCAGATGTCTGTGCAGGGAGCTGGGAAATGCTTCCCAGCCCTGCCAGCTCACCCCAGGGCTCTGCTTCCTCCCTCATCTCGCTGCCAGTCCCTCCTCCCATCCCCACGGCTCTCCTGGGAGCCCCTTGCCCTCACGCTGGGTTAGCCCTCTGCTGGGCAACGGGGGCTGCTGAGCCCGGGCAAGGGGTCAGAGCCAGTGGGGCTTTCCTGGGGCTACTAGGGGCTGGCCACGCTGGGGCTCCCACACCTGCGGGGCACTTGGTGTCATGTCCTGCTAGAGGGGGCAAGGCCCAGGAACGTGGGGGGGGGGGGGAGGAGCATGTCCCCATTATCCCCTCAGCTCCCCAACACCTGCTGTGATCATTGGCTCTCCCCCAGAACTGGAAGAAATTCGGCAACTCTGAGTTTGATGCTCCGGGCCCCAATGTGGCCACGACCACGGTGAGCGATGACGTCTTCATGACCTTCATCACCAGCAAGGAGGTGAGTGGGGGCTGGGCTAACCGGGGGGCTGCGGGGGTAAAGTAGGTCTCTGGGTGGCTAATGGGATCTCAAGGGGACCAGGCAGGGTCTGTCTGCCCAGCGTGTGGAACTGGGCTACTCTGGGATGGGGAGGGGAGCCTTGGCTCGCCGGCTTTGGGGTAGTGGGGATGGGGGAGCCCCAGTGGAGGGTTGGGGCTCCCACTCCCAGTGGGGAGGTCTCCCGGGGGCTGACGGCACGGCCCCATCTGCTGCAGGACCTGAACTGCCAGGAGGAGGAGGACCCCATGAACAAGCTGAAGGGGCAGAAGATCGTGTCGTGCCGGATCTGCAAGGGCGACCACTGGACGACGCGCTGCCCCTACAAGGACACGCTGGGCCCCATGCAGAAGGAACTGGCTGAGCAGCTGGGCCTGTCCACGGGCGAGAAGGAGAAGCTTCCAGGAGGTGCGGGCGGCGCCATGGCCCTGGGCAGGGCACGGTCACTGCACGGGGGGTGAACAGGGCAGGTGGGAGCCCGGGAGTACAGTGGGGGATGGGCGGGGGGAGCAGCAGGGATCCCCAATGGAGGCTGAGGGGGATGCAGTGGGGGAGGGGGGTGCAGCGGGGGCATGACTGTGCCCCTTTGCCCGTCTCTTGGTTAAATCGCCCGCCCTACACGCTCTGACTCAGCTGGCGCGTTGGCGGGTTCTGCTCAGGCGCGTATTTCAAAGCCTGTCCGCGCCCAACGGGTCGCCCAGCGTGGGGACTCGCTTGTGCTCGATTCACAGTCTCCGAAGGGGTGAGGGATTCTTCGAACCCCCCCCCCGCCTGGGTGTGCAGGGCCCACTGTGGGGATAGGGAAAACCTGAGAGCTGTGCCCCCTCGTTTAGCCTGGCTGCCTTTCCTTCCCCCCGGGCTGCTGCTGCTTTCAGGCCATGAGTCGCTGGTGGGCCGCTGTTTCCTGCCTCCCCCTCTCCGCGCTCCTTTCAGTGCCCCGCCTCCTCTGTGCAGCCCCTTCTGGCCAGCTCCAGCTTCGTGGCCGTTTTGCTGCTGCTCGTTTCTATCCTTTTTCATTCTACTGCCTCACCCAAAATCAACAGAAACCCCCAAGCTGAGGCCAGCTCTGCCTCTTCCCAGGCGTCTCGCTCTGAGTCACTTACAAATCTCTTCTGCCAGTGCTTGAAGTGTGAGCCCCGGCCAGCCCCCGGTGCGTAAATCCTGCTGCGGCGCCGTGCCGCTCTCCTCGGGGAGCCCAGACCCAGAAGCCCCGTGTTACCCGTCTGCTGGAGCGTAGGCTCTGCCCTGGCCCGCCTGCCTCCAGCAAACTCCCTGCTCTGCCAGTGCCTGCCAGGAAACGTTCCCTGCCACCCAGGGGCTGCGGAGCCAGAGGGTGAATACTGAGCGGCCCCCCTTGTCCCCTTCCATCATCCCGAAAACCTCTGCAAAGTGAACCCAGGCAAAGCCCCTTTGGGGGCAGGCGCCAAGCTCAGGTCCCTTTGCCCTCTCCGCTGGCGTGATCACTTCGGTTGCCTTAGATGCAAATGTCTTTCTGTTGTCCTTTGTCCTTTGCTTGTCAGCGAGCTATGGCACTTCCTCCTCCGCTGGTTAGCCTGGTCCCTGCAGACAGGGCAGTGCCCGTCCCTTGGCCTCGGGCAGGCAGGTCGAGCCGCTGCCTCTGTGGGAGATTTTAAGAACGTCTTTTCAGTGCGCACAATTGGTCACATGCAGCCCGACCAGCCAGCGGGTCGCTGGGGATTGTAGAGCTTACAGATACCGTTTGGCTGCTCCTCTGCCAACTGGCTTAAAGGCTCTGAGGGTCACGGGGGGTGTGTGTGTGCGCAGAGCAGGGCCACCCAGTGGGGGCTGAGGGGAAGGCAGGTCCCGGGGGGGAGGGGTGCAGCGGGGGCTTCCCAGTGGGGGCTGAGGTGCAGGCAGGTCCCCGGGGAGCGGGCGCAGCGGGGGCTCCCCAGTGATGGCTATGGGGAGGGGGTGCAGCGGGGGCTCCCCAGTGATGGCTATGGGGAGGGGCTGCAGCAGGGGCTCCCCAGTGGGGGCTGAGGGGCAGGCAGGTCCCCGGGGAGCAGGCGCAGCGGGGACTCCCCAGTGATGGCTATAGGGAGGGGGTGCAGCGGGGGACTCCCCAGTGGGGGCTGAGGGGAGGGCAGGTCCCTGGAGGTGGGGGATGGGTGGGATCCGGGCACTGCTCAAAGCCCTGTGTTCCTGCTCTCCCAGAACCGGAGCCGGTGCAGGCCCAGCAGAGCAAGACGGGGAAGTACGTCCCGCCCAGCCTGCGTGACGGAGCCAGCCGCCGCGGGGAGTCCATGCAGCCCAACCGCCGGGGTAAGTGCCGGGGCCTGGCGCCCACCACGGGGGCAGGGCTGAGCTGCAGACCAGCGGCCTTTCCACTTATCGCCACTAGCCTGGAGGGCAGCCTGGACTCACGGTGCTTCCCCAGTTCCGTGCCTCGGTTTCCCCACGTGCAGTGGGCTGACGGCACCTCCTGCAGGGTGCGTGTGACTCGCGCTGGACTCTTCCCCGCTCACCCAGCTTGGGATCCCCAGGGCTCTGGCAGCGCCATGCTGCTGGCTGCCCTGACCCGCCCCTCTCTCGCCAGCCGATGACAACGCCACCATCCGGGTCACCAACCTGTCGGAGGACACGCGGGAGACCGACCTGCAGGAGCTGTTCCGCCCCTTCGGCTCCATCTCCAGGATCTACCTGGCCAAGGACAAGACCACGGGGCAGTCCAAGGTGAGGCCTTGGGGGGGAGGGGGCGGGGAGAACCAGGCCATGCCAGGCACTGTCCCACAACCCCCCCTTCTTTCTGGGGGTCCCAGGGACTGGAGTGAGCCCCCACCCTGCTCTCACCACCTGCTTCCTCCCCCAGGGCTTCGCCTTCATCAGCTTCCACCGGCGCGAGGATGCCGCCCGCGCCATCGCCGGTGTCTCCGGCTTTGGCTATGACCACCTCATCCTCAACGTGGAATGGGCCAAGTGAGTGCCAGGCCTGGGGCAGATGTCGGGGGGGTCCCCTTGTGGCTGCCCCCCTTGGGCTGCTCTCTGGCTGCTGTCCCATGTGGGGCGGGGGGTGGGTTGGAGCGTGGGGAGGGGGAGGGTAGAGCTGATCCCTGGCTTCATTCCCATTCTAACCCCCCTCTTCCCCACACAGACCCTCCACCAACTGAGGCCGGCACCTTGCCTGCTGCTGCACCAGGAACGGCTGACGCTGTTGGGAGACTTGGTTGTTAATAAAGGTTCATCCCAGCCGGGCGTGTGGCGGTCTCACTTCCTCCCCCGCCTGCGCCGGGCCGGGCCGGCCCCCCTGCACATCTCTCAGGCGGGCAGGAAGTTGGGGGTTGTGGGGGCTGGCGGCAGCGAGCTCCATGTTACGCAATGCGGCTGGCGGGAGCGGGGGCTGACTCAGCCTCCAGCGTCCCAGCGCCGTGGGGCCATGTGACGGGCGCAGAGTCGCGGCGCATGGGGGGCTCACGGCCCTGCTGCGCTGCGGGGGCCGAGTCGGCGGCGCATGGGGGGCTCACGGCCCTGCTGTGCTGCGGGGGCCGTGGTGACAGGCACAGGAACCAGGCGGCTCTGAGCTCTGCTCCCGCTTGCAGCCTGCGCAGGGGGTTGCGGATGCAGCCGGCCCAGGCGCTGTAAGAGAGCGACAGGACACCGCAGCCGGCTGACTCTGCTTTAATGGCCGATCTCGCAGGAGCCCAGCCCCCGCTGCGGTAACGGGGGTGTCACAAGCCCCACTCGCTGAGGGGCTCAGAGGGGGGTTGGCGTCTAGCTGAGGAGGGAGGAGCTGCCCCCCAGAGTTTGGGGCAGGCAGCCGGAGCAGCTGCTGTTACCCCCTGTGTGGTCTGGCCTGGGCTGCGGGGGGGAGAGCCAGTCCTGTGTGCTGGCAGCACAAAGTGGGGGCGGGGGGGTGGAAGAGGCTGGTTCCATCCCCGGTGTCAGCCACAGGCCTTGAGCTCCGTGTTCTCTGAGGGCTGGCCCCTGTCCTGCCCGCGGGGGGCCCTGCACCAGCCCCGCATGCTGTCGGCCAGGGCGCCGTAGAGCAGCGGGTGGGCGCAGATGTTGAGGGTGACCAGGATTTTGCTGAGCTGGTAGGCGGAGTGGACGAACAGCGCGTGCTGGTAGTGCGGCGCCTTGCCCAGCAGACACTGCTGCCGCAGGTGCAGGTTGAGGTTGCGCAGGGTGTGGTAGGGCAGGTAGGAGACAGCGTAGAGGGCCACCCCCACGCTCACCAGCCTCCCCACCTTGCGCTTCTCCAGCCACGTGATGTGGGGGTTGCGGCAGACGGTGCGGAGGATGGCCGCGTAGGAGAAGAGCGTGAGCAGGAAGGGCAGCCCGCAGCCGAAGGCCGCCAGGAAGAGGCTGTAGGGCAGGTAGTGGGGCAGTTGCTCGTCCGTGGCGCTGCCCAGGCACTCGGTGCAGTTCCCCCTGGGCTGCAGCTCCGAGAAGTGCAGGGTGGGGGTGGAGAGGCCGGCCACCAGCAGCCAGCCGGCGCCGCTCAGCAGCTTGGCGTGGCGCGGCTCCAGCCGGCCGTGCACCAGCAGCGGGTGCACGATGCCCAGGTAGCGGTTCAGGCTGATGCAGGTGAGAAAGAAGATGCTGCCGTACAGGTTGCAGCTGAAGAGGAAGCGCTCGAGCTTGCAGAGGGCCAGGCCGTAGCGCCAGTGCTTGGGCGGGTAGTAGTAGGCGGCCAGGAAGGGCAGGGAGAGGGCGTAGAGCAGGTCGCTGACGGCCAGGTTGAAGGAATACACGATGCCCGTGTGCCAGGTGCGCTCACGCGCCACGAAGCGGTAGATGGCGAAGGCGTTGCCGGCGAAGGCCAGGAAGAACTCCACCGTCACCGCTGGCCACATGTGCTCCTGGAACTTACTGAAGGAAACATTGCAGGCCCCCGGCCCCTCCGCACCTGTAGCACTCATCCTGGGGCAAAGGAAGGGGGGGCTGGGTTAGAGGTTCCCTGCCTGCGCCTGGGGGCTGAGCTCACCCCTGCAGGCCGGATGCTGAGGTGGCTGCAGGGTCTCCGCCTAGGCAGGGAGGGGTGGGACTTTCACACGCTGGTTGGTGAGAACAGGCTGTGCTGGCAGGTCTGTTCCCTGCGCGGTGTTGCTGGAGGGGCCCAGCCAGGACCTCTGGGCAGCTAGTGCAGGTTGAAGAGGGGCTGGGACTGACCACATGGTGCACCCAGTGAGCGGCCACGGCCAGCCCCATATATCATGTTCTTCCCCCCCCCCCACTGCAGGTGAACGTTCCCGAGGAACCCCCCAGGCTGCAGCTGGCTACAGTAACTCCTCACTTCCTAGTTCTGTTCCTGAAAAACGCGACTTTAAGCAAAACGATGTTAAGCAAATCCAATTTCCACATAAGAATTAATGCAAATGGGGGGTTGGGTTCTAGGCAAATTTTTTTCACCAGACAAAAGACTATATATTTATATACACACACACACACATGCAGTATACGTTTTAAACAAACAATTTAATAGTGGGACAGAGCGGCGATGATTGTGAAGCTTGGTTGAGGTGGTGGAGTCAGAGGGTGGGATATTTCCCAGGGAATGCCTTGCTGCTAAATGATGAACTAGCACTCGGCTGAGCCCTCAAGGGTTAACACGTTGTTAATGGAGCCTCGCTCTACAGGGCAGCATCGCCGAGACACCGGGCGTGTCTGAGGCTATGGCTACACTGGCGCTTTACAGCGCTGCAACCTACTTGCTCAGGGGGTGTGAAAAAACACCCCCGAGCGCCGCAAGTTTCAGCGCTGTCCAGCGCCAGTGTACGCGGGGAGCTAATCCCCCGGGGGAGGTGGAGTACCTGCTGCGCTGTGAGAACGCGACCACATGCACTTCAAAGGGCTCCCGCGGCAGCACTTTGAAGGTTTGAGCGTAGCCAGGCCTGAGAGCGGGAGATGCACATTTCCCCTTTAAGTAGCTGACCCCACTGCCGTTATTAGAGCAGCTTGCGGAGACAGCTGCTGCTGCCTGGAAGCTCCCTCTGTCCCCCCCCCTATGGAAATGGGGTAAGCGGGGTGCAGAAGAGGGAGAGGGACACCCTGACATTACAGGGGGAAAGGGGGAAGTGAGGGGCTAGAGCAAGCAGGAGGCTCCCAGGAGCAGCACAGGGTAGTGGGGGGAGGAACTGCTGGCAATTGGTAGCCTGCTGGTTGGCTATTGCCCAGGGGACTTAGGGGAGCCGGCCCCCCCTCATTCCAAGCCCCCACCAGCTCACTCCACCGGGCAGTGGACAAAGCAGGCGGCTGCCAAACGAGCACGTTCCCTAACGGCTCAGCAACGTTAACCGGGAGGACTGTAAGTGAGGAGTTACTGTACTGGGAGCAGCGCTGCCCCGGCCCCATGGTCTTCACTGCCCATTTCCAACAGGGGTTTAAGCCGGGGGGTCTGCCCATGCCTGGCTGAGGGGCTGGGCCCAGCTCAGTCACCACTGCCCCCCACCCCCCCAGGGCAGAGCCACTCTTATGGTAGAACCTTCTCCCCACCATGTGCTTCCCTGGGCCTGCTCCCTGCCCCAGAGCCACAACTGCTCCCCCCACCCCTGGGAGCCGGTGTCCCCAACCCCTGCCTGCTGCACGGACAGCTCTGGGGACAGCCGCCCCCCACGATGCTGAGCCTGTGAGGTGTCTCCTCCCCCTGCCAGCCGCCCCCAGCTCAGCTCCCCCCATCCCCACAGCTGGTCACTCACCCTGTCCCCCCCGCAGCACAGGGGGCTCAGCTCTCCCCCGCCCCCAGACCCGCTCTGCCCTTGGCAGCTCTAGGGCCAGAACAATCCCCGCCCACCCCATGGACTGGCGATGCTGTTCCAGGGGCCCGCAGCAGCTGCAGCCCCTCCAGGAAAGCGGCAAGCCGTGGCGTTGCTCGCCCAACCCCCCAGCATTCAGTGCAGCATGGCCCCCTGGCCTGAGAACGCCCAGAAATGCCCCCCCAGCCGCCCTCACCTGGCACTGCGCTGCGCCCGGGGGCAGCAGGACCCGCCGCAGGCTGGAGAGGGAAGCAGTAGCAGGGTGTTCCTTCCTGCTGGCAGCTGGCTGCAGCCTGAAGACGCTGCTCCACCCCTTCCCCCCCAGCCCGAGGGTGGTGGGAGGGCCTAGCACCCTGCCCTGGCAGCCCGCGCCTCAGCCTCCAGCCTTCCGCCACATCGGGGAAGGGCGGCAACCGCCCAGAGATCCCATCCTGCCCCCAGCGCAGCTCAGAGGCTGGCAGCACCCAGCCAGCAGCGCTGGCCGTGCCTGAGCAGGGGCCGCACGGGACCTGGCTGGGAGGGGAGGGG